GCAAAAAACTCGAGAAGGAGCGCAAGCACAATAAAAATGAATGACATAGTTCTGACGCGCATGCGCGTCAGAATGTCCGATGCGGTGCCAGATTTCTGACGCGCATGCGCGTCAGCCTGTCGTCAATGTGTTAAATACTTTCGTTTTTGGGAAAGAATGCTCAGATAGAAGATGTACAACAGTTGACAAGATTAGAAGGTACGACAGCTCGGAATGAAATGAAATGAAACTTTCGATAATCATGACCATTTCGCAAAACAGATTTGGAGGCAGGGCGATTTTGGAGCGGTACGGTTTTAGATTTTGGGCTTCACTACGCAACAACTAGCGCATCTTCGTCGCGAAAACGCCACACATCACTCCCTTTGCCAACTGGACATCGCTTCACAATGCATACACTTATCTCACCTAATAATACCGTACGCGGATAAGCGGCAATTTCACACCAATCAATAATTCTATAGCTTATACGAATCTTCATATAGAATATGGCAAGTCGAATTTGTTTGTAAAAATACAAAACATAGTAACGTACAACATCACGACGAATAAATCAATCTAAACGATATGCTGATTTTTGCACTCGTAAAACACCTAGAAGTACGACGAAGGGTATGTGTCTAGCGAGTTAATAATATAATCAGTCCAGTAATAGTACACAGGGATCGATATGAGAGGCTTTGAACAAATAATATAGTACAATTACAACGATTGAACATTAAGTAAATAAACAACAACTGTCACTTGGACTAATCGTCGTCATTCTGCGACCGATGATCACGATGTATATGAACAGATCTACGCCTCGACTTCGGGAGTTAGAAAATGCAACAACAAGTCTGTCATGGTGAGTATGACAACAATTTTACTATATTATTTACACAGGCTAGTGTCTGACTAGAGAATAGCATTTCAGGAAAAGTGAATCAAATAGATGCTAGGAAAAGAACCTGTGAACTGTCAACGAGCACATCTCCAGCTCGCCAAGCAACGATCAAGGTATGGAAACAATGCACGCAGCATAAGAAAATCGCGAGAAAACTTGCGAGCCGCGCCGCTACCGCTCGCGGCTTAGTCCTGCTACCTGAACCAAGGCTTGCTGGACGGACATTGGGCTACGGATCAAAACCACTCAAATCTCATACGATCTATATCGAATCGACAATACGAAAGAAAGCTTCAGATATACTCGACTGGCAAACATAGGCATTTGAACGAGAATAAATTACGAAAAAAAACGGCTACGAAACTACGCGATATTTCTGCCGCGAGCAGCAAAACAAGGGGAAAACCTCAAGGCAATCGGTCCTCGAAAAAATTACGACGAATCAGATCCACGAGTTTCACGAATCGTTCCCGCTGCTGGTACGCGATAGTTCATCATTGAATCTGACGGAATCATACCCAAACTGTTGGGGCGGTTCGCTGGAGGCGTTGGAGCCGGATTCTCTTCAGGAACGGTCTCAAATGCCGCTTTCCTAAATAACTAGTATGATCGTAAAATCGTCCATGTGATAGATGCTGTGATAGATGAAAGCCAGTGGCGAGGCCATGGCGCAAAGGGAGGCCGCTAAGGAAGATAAAAAAAATAGATAATGATCGGCATCAATGAATCCTCGTGGGACGCGCCGTGCATTCAACGGCCAGTCAGCATCGCCTGAGAACCAGCGTAGGATTAGCGCCATGAAAACGTCAGAACATCGCATCTTTCGACAATATAGGAAACACTGTCTCGATGAAGACTCCATACACCAAATACCTTTCGCGACTCGAAGCATTCGGAAGGGGCGCCAGGAAATTAGGAATTTCGGCCATGAACATCTCAAGTAACAACGTATTTGCGGTATCTGCCATCTTACTCCCCGCTATGCTCCCCGTATCCGCCCGACATTCTCTCGCTTCAGATCCAGTGGTCTCTAAACTCAAAGTCACCTAGACTCCTCTAAAGTCTGGAAAAATAAGGGCCTTACTGAGGCTATTTCAATGACTTCTTCTTTTTGCTTAACCGATAACACAATGAGAACCTACCCCACATTTACCCCTCTTTGTTACCGAGCATTGAGCCTTCAACATAAAGTTATTCATTCTTGCGAGATAACTTCCTCATAACCCCCATCACTTCCCATGTCTTCGCTTTCTTGACACTTGGGGTTTGTTCAGAAATGGTGACGCAAACAGTAGGTGTCCTTTGAGTAGACATTCATGATAGGAAATCATTTTTCTGTCTGTCATCTAAATATCGCGTGTCCCATACATCTATGACGCTTCTCACAAAAAGGCACATTCTAGCATATTGTAGTACAATGATCCAGCATTACAGTAGACCGCAGTCTCAATAGAGGTAATCAAACTCTTTAAGGGCAACGATTACGATAGGTCCTAGATGGGTTTACAGGGAACGTGGGAGTACTTAATGGTACGCCAATGGCGAAAAAAGCAGAAAATCCGTCAAGAAAACGCGAAAAGGGGACCCCTTGTTTGGCCGTTGATCTTCGCAGGACGGGCAGCGGCTAGACGGCGGACGTATGGACGAGTTTACCGCAACGCGTTTGGTGGCACCATGCCAATCCATGCTCCAGTCGAGTTGCTCCAGTTGTGCCGCTGCTGGCAACACAGCTCGTCCAAATCACCAACTAAACTAGTGGGCGGATCGCTTTTGGGGCGGAGTGCTTTCGAAGTCCTGCTCAGCTCAGCAGCCACCTTTCGTCGTGAAAGCGCCACACCTCGCTTCCTTGGCAGCCAAGTAACTGCTTCGTGTGGCGCACATACTTCCCTTATGCGCTTCCTCCTTATCGTAATCACTAGCTTGCAAGCTTGTCCATCGTAAGCTTTGACTGAGAAGGAGTATGGCGGAAATGGGCCAAGGACAGGACAGCATTGGAAATTTACACCACGCTATTTACAAAGATGGCGAAGAACAAAGAACACTTCGGATGCACAGTTGGTACTGTGCTTGTTTTTCTGAGCCATTGTGGGTCAACCCAATGAAGCAGAGATTCAAAGGTATTGAGACATCAGTCTTTGACTCACCTTTTAGAAGCCTTATCATTGGCTTCTTTCTCCGCACTTTGTCGTTTCAAACCACGTCTCTTCATCAATGGCGCCGCTTCCACGTCCATCAGATGAAATCCGTCACGGTTCGCAGTCAAGAAGGCTTGTAGGGTCTCGTTGAATGTTTCACCTTAAAATTTTGATGAAAAACATTTCAGGGCATATTTTTGAGAGAAGCCGTTTCAGTACGTTTCTTCGTTTGGATGGCCAATAAAGCAACTGATAAGAATAGTGCATACCAGCAAATGAAGGCAAAACATTAGGCGTTTGTAGTGGAGTCTCTAGAGATGACGACGAATTCAACCACGCGTGTCGCGACAATTCTTGCATAGATAACCGTTTCTTTGGATCCACAGTCAATAATCCTAAAATGAAATGAAGGTGTCATAAAAACTGCACGCTCGCGTTTTTGAAACCATGAAACTGTTCAGATACGTAGCAGATGTTTCCATGGTAAACAGATTTTCATGGCGAAATTTGATTATTTTCTGGGTACCCAAGAGGAAGGCCAAGGACACAGAGCCAGCGGACAAGTTGTGGCGCGTACTGTAGTGATTTCGCTAAAATTTACTATAGTACATCCCACCCGCAATA